TTCTCCCCAGAGCACTTTTGAAAAACTGGAGGATGAAATAGCAGAGGTCAACTCCAATGCTGATGCTCTCAAGAAGAACTTCTTTGAGCTCAATGAGTTCAGAACCTTGTTGAAATACTCTTCAGAATTATTTGATGAGGCAAGTTCTGTGACTATATTTACAGTGAGACCCACAAGATGCAGACATAATTGGTGCATCAAGAGTGTCCCAAAGTCAAAATGTCCCTGAGTTGATTTTTGTTTTCCCTTAGACTTACATTACATAATTTTCAATTGGTGATTTATGGAAGAAATATTCATCAGAATTCCATGAAAAGCAATGGAAACAATTGTACACCAATTGAAACTGATTCAATCAATAAAGTTCAACTCAATAAGGGCATTTGGAGCATTACTGTACTGCTTTACAGTACTGTACATTGCAATGTTGGCATACCACTGTAAAAATAAAATTACGGTCAAAAATTGAGAAGGAAGTGCCTCCATGCAGGAATTAATTGTTTAATTATCTGAATGGATGGTAAAATGATGAGAGAAATGCCAAAGAACTTTAGCATCTTAGGGCTGGAAATCTCTTTTTCTTGTAATTTGGTATTTGCAATTTTAGCATGCAATGTCTGCCTGTCAATATAAGTCAGTGTCTCCATAATGTTAGGCTTTTTCTTGAATATTTTATTGGAAAATTTGTCCATATTTCAAATTGCCTGCATGTTTAGGTGTCTGCATGTGGGGGTTTTCTGTGATTTCTAAAAAAAAACAATAAATTGAATTTCATCAAGTGAAATTATCTGTCTAATATAGTCTGATGATAACAAAAGAAGGAGCATTATTTCGGCGTCCATTACATTGGATCCCGAGGATGACATCATAGGATCCCACTTGGGTTTTGTGGCTGGAACTCTGCCCAGAGAGCGATTGCAGACTTTTGAACTGCTTTTGTGGAGGGCTTGCAGAGGAAACGTTTTCCTGAAAGTCATTGATGTGCCAGGAGAAGTCTTTGACCCTGCATCTGTGAGAAGATCATCAATAATCAATTCATTGATTGAATAAAATACTATGGCTAAATTTTACAACTGTATAAGCATTCCAAGCATTCAGTTCCACAGGAAAAGAACCTCTTTGCAGGGATTTGCAAGTGTTTGTCATAAACTGACCATTTCTTAAAATATAAGCATTTTGTGTTATTTTATAAGAGAAGAATCTTCATTTCATAATTTCAATGAAACAAATTATACTATTGTATGCAGTATAAACTTCAAGAAATAAAGGTAGTGAATCAGTTGACCACAAAAAGTTCTCCTGAACTTATTTGCAGAGTTGGCAAATTATTGGCAGAATAAATTGGCCATTTGTTTTTTTTTAAATAGCAAAAGTTTCCATAAGACTTCGTTTTAAAGCTATATATTTCTCAAAGTATTTTTCACTAGAAGAAAAAAATCTTTTGTTTACCTTCAAATTAGCTAACTACATTACACTACAGTATACTAAGTTTTTTATACAGTGTAAGACTTCAAGCAGTGAATCAGTTCCCCAACAGAAACAGATTCTCCTGAACCTATTAGCATGTTTTATTGCAGTTGCATGTCAAAACTGGAAATTTATTTAAAACATTGCTGAAACAGTGAAATGTCATATTTAACACTTCTATACTTAAAAGGCCAGATTTTCTTTTGAGCAGTTTATTTTTCACTATACAGTCTACCCCTGTTGAACGGACTTGATTTGTGCAAGGGACAAGTCTGTTAGACAAAAAGTCCTTTACACGAATTCAATTACATAAAAAATTAAAAATTTCAATTTTCAACACTAATTTTAAACCAAAAGAAGTCTGTTTGGCGGATTTTGTCTGTTGGGCGGGAGGAAAAACTGCTTGCAGAGCTGGTCTGTTTGGCAAAAATCCCTTACACGGGAGGTCTGTTAGGCGGGGGGGGCCACCGTACATGAAAATTATCTTTTTTACAAAACAATAAATTCAACAAGGTTTTTTTTTCTAAATAAAACCCTTGATAAAAGCTGGCTTACTTCAACAGGGTGAGAAGATCAGGAAGGTGATCTTCTCTGTGTTCTTCCAAGGAGAGGCCCTCAAGAATAGAGTTCATAAAATCTGTGAAGGTTTCAGGGCATCTGTTTATCCAGTACCTGAGAGCACTGATGAGAGGCAATCCATCATGATGGGAATCTTGTCCAGACTGGATGACTTGACCACAGTATGCAAAGTATTTTCTTGCATAACAACCATGTTCCAAAGACTGAATAAGAAACCAAAAGTAATAAGCAAGCAGTTCTGTTTGGCAATTACACTGTCATCACCATGCTTCAAATTATTACCATGATAATTCAATTCAATTCTTTTAATACCAGGATAAGTTTACAGGCAAATTCTTTGCCATGCAACACAATCTTAGTGGTGAGAGGCACTTGGGTAAAACAGTTTGCAATTCATCATCATTCCAGGTTCTGTCTCAAACTGAGGAATACAGGTTCAGGGTGCTGAATGCAGCTGCCAAAAGCCTGGACAGTTGGTTCATCAGGGTCAACAAAATGAAGGCCATTTACCACACCCTCAACAAGTTCATGTATGACTTTGCCCCTGAGTGCATTGTGGCTGAGTGCTGGATCCCAACCAGCAGTCTGGAAGAAGTGCAAAATTCCCTAGTCACTGGAATGGTAACCCTGACACCATTTTCATAAAGCACATTTCATGATGTACTTATCTTGCATTTTTGGGGGGGGGGGGGTAATGTATCACTGAGATAGGTTAGAAGTGGAGGAACCATTGCACCAATCATCAACAGAATTGCCACTGATGAGGTTCATCCAACTTTCAACAGAACCAACAGGCTCACTCAGGGTTTCCAGAGTCTTGTGGATGCTTATGGAGTGGCTGACTATAAAGAAATGAACCCAGGTTAGTATATACAGCAGTATTTCAGTAAAAACTATTAGCAACTAATACCATTAAAACACATTTTTCAGTGCTGCAAACTTTTTTCCAAGTCTTGGCATAAACTCTATCATATAGGGTACATGTTACAAGCATATATTGTTACAACAAACTCTCCAATTCCATTATTATACAAACTAATTTTCCTGATTAAAAATCCCTAATGGAGGCAGACACAGACTCAAATTTCTCATTCAAAATGTGACTCACTTATGGTTTTTGGGAAATAAAAGGATGGTGGAGTCAAGGACAGAAATCCTTTAAAATTCACCTGAAAATTCTCTCTCCCAGAAAATATGCAATGTTCAGTTAAGGGGAGGGATTTGGATGCTTGAGAAACCCTACTGATACTTGACAACTGTAAGCTTTTTTGGAACATACTCCCTCACAAATCTTTGCAGTACTGTAATGGCTTTGTAACACCTGAAGTCAACAAAAAGTGCTTATGTTCACCTGTTACTGAAATTTGTATTTATTTTTGAACATTACAATGTTTTCAAACATGAAAAAACACCTGAAAAGGCCAAAAATGAACACCTTGAATTGATGCTAGTTTCATTTGAAGCACTATCTTCCCAGCCAATAATTTTGAAAATTTTGTAAAATAAAAAGTATTCATTATACTGTAACAAACTTCCCTGAAGTATCCAGCACAAGTTTGTTGAAGTGAGATGTCACTGTACTACAGTATTAATGACTAGTTGAACACTCATTACATGACCTTCCAATAGCAAAAAAAAACTTCCATGAGATTTTGTTTTTTCAGCCATCTTTGCTGTGATCACTTTCCCCTTTCTGTTTGGGGTGATGTTTGGAGACATTGGACATGGGCTCATCATGGCAGCTTTTGGGGCATACTTGGTGTGGAAGGAGGACATGTTGGAATCTGTGGCCAGGAGCAATGAAGTATAACTTGACACAACTGCATGAAGACAAAATATGTTGTTTTTGAAACTTTTTTTTTATAGATTGCACAAATGTTCTTTGGAGGAAGATACATCATCATGCTGATGGGCATCTTTGGAACTTATGCAGGGTTCATCTACAATGACATATTTGGCAAGACCATAAAGATATTTCCTTCTGGTTTCACTTACCACACTTTCAAGTTAGTTTCCAATTTATAATTTATATTTTTTTCCATTAGAGAGTCTGAAGCAGACCATGTTGTGTCAGACAGCCACTTTGATTTGTTTTCAGTTTGCAACAGTTGACTAAAGAAGAGCACTTGGGTGTGGACCCAGCTGTACACTACAAAGGAGTACCTTATCCCTTTGGGGTGGACCCAGTCTGGGGAATGGCAACCAACAAAATCACTTACTTGAACTCATTCAAGATGAAGACTGCTGTGGTCTTGGGTGTCATGCAAATGCTCTTTGGTGTGGTTCTGTCCTTGACCAATCACACGTGAGTTATTGGCACTTTTTAATGGGTGAATTTGGGTTATCAATTCTGCTTGAAATATGGGTGACACATGCTTAGTATAGTGACTCAACATTTACAGTATATGTATTCAGGATATCAAATTTACCATCTTTCCAACTGGTTTTACCAAATGCTTCTTTAGATTAAGTATTCTGTTCAGTTGCGTGATTTGTTTGGCATTGTGAATACAGTCAATTGCTCACTTTTAGGTCCAAGTGTTTCATTCACTTGGAACATTTTAACATTTTTAGTTAAATGAGTTGGTGTTTCACCAGCTAAAAAAGTTTGTTAGTAGAGACATTTAATTAGTTCATGTAAGATTTCTGACTTAATTTGGAGAAAATCTTCAGTTAATTTAAAAGAAATTCTCAGATAAATCAATAAGAGACATGTTCAGTTAATTGAGGTTAAATGCTCAGTTTTTTCAGGTTGAATTCTAACTCAGTTTAGATCAGATTCTGACTGTGCCATAACCAATGTCCTAAGTCACAGTCAAAGTTAGATTGAAGTTGGACTTTTATTTAAACAAGGTTGGACTCTGATTTTATAAAGGTTAGATTTTGACTTGATTTGGGTTAGATTTTGATTTAATCTAAGTTAGATGTTGATTCAATCAAATTTGGATTTTGATTCAATCAAATTTAGATTTTGCTTCAATCAAATTTAGATTTTGATTTAATCAAATTTTGATTCTGATTCAATCAAATTCAGATTTTGATTCAATCAAGGTTAGATTTTGATTCAATCAAGGTTAGATTTTGATTAAATCAAGGTCAGATTTTGATTAAATCAAGGTTAGATTTTGATTAAATCAAGGTTAGATTTTGATTAAATCAATGTTAGATTTTGATTAAATCAATTTTAGATTTTGATTAAATCAAGGTTAGATTTTGATTAAATCAATTTTAGATTTTGATTAAATCAAGGTTAGATTTTGATTAAATCAAGGTTAGATTTTGACTGATTTTAGATTAGATTCTGACCTAGCTTAAGTGTCATTAAGTGAGGTTCAGCAAGGCATTTGTCAGGACAGGTGTTCAATTGTTAAGTTGTGCTTAGTAGGGTAAGGTTGGCACATTCACTCAGGTGAACTAAGTTTCAGTTTTGAGTATGTGGTAAGAACACTAAGAAGTTAGCTGGGTATTATAGATGCTCAGTAAAGCTGAATGCATTTTTGAAATTATTTTTGGTGAATGGTAATGTCAATGAAAAGCTTAGATGGTGTCATTATCTTCCTTGAAGAGTGAAATTTTATAGCATTGATCCTATGGATTATCAAAGCTAACTATAAGAATACTATTTGCGTGAAGTAGATGTAAGGAGAGTGTTGATCTTTTGCAGGTATTACAGGAAGCCACTGAACATTTGGGCAGAGTTTGTGCCTCAACTGCTCTTCATGCTGTGCATGTTTGGATACCTTGTAGTTTTGGTCTTCCTCAAGTGGGTCAAGTATGATGTCAGTGACAGCAGCTGTGCACCATCCATCCTCATCACTTTCATCAACATGGTGCTCTTCAAGGCACCAGCTAAAATTGAAAACTGTGAAAGCACCATGTTCCCAGGCCAGGTTGAGAAGCTTCATCTTGATAAACACTATTTTCCTTTAAAATATTCAAAAGTAACAAAAATTCCAACCTTTATGCATAGGTTGAGCTCCAAATGTTCCTTTTGCTGGTGGCTCTCATTTGTGTCCCATGGATGTTGCTGGTGAAACCATTTGTCCTGAGGAAGAGGCACTTGAAGGCACTGAGGTCCAGAACTAGGGAGCAAGAAGAAGAGGTTCATCATCAATTAATTCTGATAATCATTTCATTTTCCAATCCATTAAATAATACTGTACACATGGGACATATTTTGGACCCATGCATTTAACATAACTAATGTGTTACAGGATGAGTTTTGTTGACACAATTTTCTGTGAGTTGAAAATATTTAATAAATTCCAAACACACACACACACAAACAAATAAACATTCTGTGATATTTTACCTTGAAAACCTGTGTATTTCAAGGTTAAATATCAGTTTAGTTGAACATAATGTGATCAAATTCCAAGGGACCATCAAGAAATTGACATCAAGTTTTTGACTATAAAAAACACTCTTATTTTTTCATGCATGAAATTCATCAGAGAAGCCACAGGGACAGAAGAGGGCCAGATGATCTCTATGAGCTGTCCCACAGTTTTGAAGCTCTGCAAACAGCCCAGCAAGCCCAAGCTCACAACCTTTTGGAGCAGCACAGGGG